CCTCGACGTAGCGCTCAAACGCCACCGCGGCGATCTCGGCGGTAAGGAAGGGCACGCGGTAGGCCGCCGCGAGGTGCATCGCGATGGTCTCCGAGCCCGAGAAGGGCGGCCCCGTAATCATCACCCGGCAGGGCTGCAGCCCCCAGGCCTGCCGAAATTGATAAATCACCTTGTCCAAGTTCTCCACAAAGCCCCCCAACGCCATCCAGCGGTCCTCCTCATACAACGCGAGGACTTTGCCCGGTTTGGTGCGGACATCGAGGAGGAAGTGCGGCCAGTAGGGCCCGGCGAAAGGGGGGGCCGCGTGCTCGTCGTCGGCGGGAGGGGGGGGAAGGCCGGGCGTTCCGGCTCCGAGGAAATCGCCGGGGGGTCGCCCCAGGCGACGCCATCCCCGAATCCCGCCCGCAGCGCGTCGAGGAGCTGCTGGACGCTGCAATTGCCCTGATCGACCGCGAATAAATACCGCTCCCCCAACACCTCGAAGGCGGCCCCGACGCGGTAGATGATCGCGGAGAGATCCCGCACGTGGATCATCGGGACGACGTTCCCGCGGTGCCGCCGCCGGCGAAAGCGATCGTAGCGCGCGGGGAAAAGCGGCTCCAGGGGGTAATGCCGCCAGGCCGCGTGGAGAAGCCCCGCCAAGGGGCCCTCCCCATCCCCGTAAGGGAGCCCGGCCGTCAGGACGTAGGTGTGGAGCGTCTCCGAGTTCGCGCGCTTGACCAGCCGCTCCAACTGCTTCCAGGCCTCGTACTGAGGATGGGGGATGCGCTGCGCGTAGTCCTCCTCGGTGAAAACCCGCGAGGGCACGAGCTCCTCGTCCGGGTATTCCTCGGCCTCGGCGTCCTCGTCGGGGGGGGCGGCATCGCGCGTTTCCGCCCCCACCTCGGCAGGGTCGGCGTCGTCGTCGTCGAACTCGCGCTCGGCGGCGCGCTCGAGGGCGGCCTCCCGTCGCCGCTCCGCCCGCACCTTTGCGCGCTCCGAGTTGAGGGTCTCGGCCCAGGTGAAAATCGAGGAGACCAACACATACGTCTTCTCCACCTCGTAGTGCGAGCCGAGGAGAACTTTCGCCGCGCACTCCGCATCGTGCGCGTCGTCCTCGAGAATGGCAATAATGATGTCGTTTTCGAGCACCTTCTGGCAAAACTCTCGGGGGGATTCCTTATGGCTGGTGACCACTCGCGAGACATAGGTCCTCATATCCGGCGGGACCTCCGTCGAGGGGGAATGGTTAAACATCAAAGGCAAGCTAGTGGGGTTATGGGGGTCTAAGGAATTCTCGTTGGACGTCCTGGAGAGGGTTATCTCAACCTCATACTCATGAGAATTGTAAAAGGTGCGGGCGACGTGCTTGCCGACATAAGAATCACCATTAATTACTAGCACCCGCTTCATCTTTTCTCCGTCTTTTCTTCTATCTACTTTGGAACTTCAGTACCTTTTCACTCACTCTCCTTTTTTCTCCTTTTTTTTTACTTGAAGTACAGAAAAAAAAAGAAATGCGTGACTTATTAACATGGAAAAAAATGTTCAAAGTGGAATTTAGTCGGGAATGACAAACCAAGGATTAAACCTACAGTGTGCTTCTACAGTGCAACCGTCAATAGTCAATATACACAATTGATCAACGTTATTAGAAAAATCTCTTACGACGGATCATATACAATGTGGTAGCTGTCCAAAACATTCGATAATTAGCATCATGGACTTGTTCATACCTCTATCATTTTTCTATTTGCTTTCAACATTTGCCTCATTCCTCTCATTCTCCCCCCTTCATTAGGCGAAAATTCTTTTCTACCCTTTTATTTACATTCCATGGAATCGAGAAGGAAATATATATATATATATATGTAGTAATCGATTCAAACCTACAAATAACTCGAAAATGCAATCAATAAAAAGCAGAAAATGGAAAATCCCCTCCTCTTATGTTGCATTCGTAGTGACAGGGGGGAGGGGGAGGGGGAGGTCTACTTATTTGGAGAGATCATGCCACGGCTTTTGACTTGCCCATCGAGCTCTTTGAGGACTTCCGGTTCCTTCCAGAGATGGGAGTCTTCCCATTGTCCTGAGTACTGGATTCCGAAGCCTTGGTGTTTACCGATTCACTTCTTTTTTGTGTCTTCGTAAACAACAACCCCTCGGCGCCGCCGTTAGTTTTTCCCTTTTCCGGAAGCGGTACCGTCTCTCCCTCCCACTTCCCGGGGATCTCCCGCTCCCGCCGCCTTCGCACGACCTCGCCGCCGGAGATCAACCCGACCTCGTGGGCCTCGGCGGGGACGACGACAGCCTCCTCGGTAGGCCGCACCTCCGCGGCGTCCCGCATATCCGAGGACAGCTGCACAAGCAGCATCTCCGGGTTCCACGTGAGGTCTTCGTCCAGCTCCCGTGAGAGCCCGGTGGTCAGGCAGGACATGTCGAACTCGCTGTGGATGGTCTGCAGCAGGCGGTCCCAGTTGCAGTGGATGTCCAGGTCCTTCAGGCTCGGCATCGGGGACTGGTAGTTCGTCGGCATCTCGAGAACCTTCCGCGCGAAGTTCTCGCGGGCCTCCCGCGCGCGGCGCTGCTCCTCGCGGTGGGTCTGGTCGTCCTCCCCGTCCGCGAGGATCGGGACGTCGCGCGCGCGGACGTCCTCGGAGGGGGAGGACGAGGGCGGGGGGGGGGAGGGTGAAAGGGAAGAAAGCCCCACCATAGCGTGCAGCAGCGGGCCCAACTTCGCGCCTGTGTCGGAGGGGTTGGCGCGCCGTCCGAACTGCGGGGCCTTCGCCGGGGAGGGGGGCTTCTGCGACAGGGACCCCCCCTCCGACTGTGACGCCGCCTCGGAGGGCTTCATCGAGGACTGGGAGGATCGCGACATGACAGGGCGCACAGGAGGAAAGGAGAGGTGAAGGGGTGAGGGTCACAGAGAGGGTGTGAGAGGGTCACAGAGAGGGTATGAGAGGGTCACAGAGGGTGTGAGAGGGTCACAGAGAGGGTGTGAGAAGAACGCGGAACTGAAAAATGCGCGCGTGGATGAGAAAGGGGGAAACAAAAGGGTGGCTAAAAGTTTGTAAATGCTAACGGAGAATAATCTGTGCAGGCGAAGAAGAAAAAAGTGAATAAAAAAGGAAACAGTTGGGGGTCATATGAACTAGATATTGCTCAAGAACATGTCTTGTGAGAAGATCACATGACCAAATGGTGGGTCCCTTTTTTTTTAACAAGAATTCATAAAAATGAACCCATCCTGAATTGTTTCAAGGAACAAGTTCACGAAATAGACGTCATAAGTGTAATGATATGACGCCCGCAGTGGGGTTGGAAAAACGTTTGTGGTTGCTTCTACGATGCTTTGAATTCCCTTTGCTACCCCCCGCAAATACAATTCATATGTTTACTCAAAGAATAAAACTCCACTCAATGAATATCGAAACGTCGCGCTGGTTTGCTAGAAAAAAATTAAAGATTTCTTTCAGTTTTTTTTAAACGCTAAGGAATGTTCCTCCTTGTTAATTTTCCCTCATGCGTTTCGCCACCGCCTTCCTCGACTTGGGAGCCTTTCCAAAATCCACCGCCTCCGCCGCGGCTTTTTCACTCTTTTCATTTTTAAGCGTGGTCACCGAAACGATGTGCTCGCCACGAAGAAGAATAAGCCCTAAACTTCGTGTTGAATTTATTGATTCTTCTTTCATTTTCTTCGTTAACGGGCGCGTTTCGTTTGCTTCGCTAAGAACCACATTCATATGCTGATCATAAACTAAAAGCTTTCCCGTTATCTCGCGGTTATCATCCAAGACAACCTTTAGCATGCGATTAATATTATGAAGCATGTTATTTTTCCCCATGGTTAGTGCTTGGTTTATTTCTATTGTTTCGCTCTCCTTAAATAGTGGTGTTTTTTTTTATAAATTAAACAGATTCCGTTAATGATAATAATGGAATTAGATTTAAAAACTATATAAGCAAAACAAGAGAAGGGAAAAGGGGAAAAAAAGCTACAAGAAAGCAAGTTCGTATCAGCTTTAAAAGGCTCAAAATAAGAAAATGGGAAATATATATATTTTTTTACTGAAGTCTTAAGACATTTATTCGATTAGTATGCATTTAATGTTATTCTTACTATTTCTCTGTACAGTAATTTGAGATGTTCGTACTATCCTTCTGCATTGGTGAAATAGCTATTAACTATTATCCCTTCCAGTAATTGGCGAAAATACAACTACAAAGAGATCTCCTTGAGATTCTCTAGTCCTTTCCTTTTATCCTCTGTACAGTTCTTTTGGAAAAAAAAAATACTTCAATTGGAGAAGGAAGAGGGGGAAAGGGAGCTCCTAAGCGCCGTGATAAGGAATGATACTTTACTTCCCCCACAAAACCATTAGCAAGAAAAATAAAAGAAAATGGCACCCCAAAACACCCCACACGCAGACGCTTTTACCGTCCCTTTTTCCCTTTCTGTCGTTTTTGTCGCTGCTTTTCCCGACGAAGTTGCCCATAGGACATGCTATCCATATACTTACTCGCCTTCTTCGGCGCCCCCTTCACCGCTTGGGAGCGCATGAGCTTCCGCACGCTTAGCCCGCTCACCTTTTCCCGCGCGCGTGGGTCGTCCTTGCCCTTCTCCACCAATTTATGGAGCATTCGCTGGGCCTTTCGGCGTTTTCGCCCCACCGCCTCCATCACCTTCCGGCTCGGGCGGGCGTTGAGCTCCTGGAAGCGCCGCCGCTGGACCTCGATCTCCTCGGCGGTGACCGGCAGCTGAACTTTGCAATTTCGCTGCTCGTCCTTCACGAACCAGTCCGGCAGGTCGTCATCGTCGTTGAAAAGAAAGCGGTTGATCGAGGCGTCGAGGATATCCCGGCGGGCCTTCGGGTCGAGCATTTTTTGCGCGATCGCCAGGGTCCGCGCGCGAACCGCCGGGTCGGTCATCGCGACCGGGACCACCTCGAAATCGCTTTCCTTCCCGCCCGCCTTTCCTTTTCCGGTTGCATTCGACCCGGCCGACGCGGGGGCATTTTTGCCCTTCCGCCTTTCCTTTTGCAGCTCGCGGTGGCTGAGGAGGGTTTGCTTGCGCTGCTCACGAACGAGCTCCTGGGTGGTGAGTTTGCTCAGGCTCGGGACTAATTGCCGCTTTCGCCGGGAATCCGCGCGGCCCTCGTGGATCTCGAGCGCGTCCTCCCCATCGCTGAGGTCCGAAAAGGAGTGATCGTCCTCGCTCTCGCTCTCGCTCGTCGCGTCGTCGTCAGGGGCGCGGGGATTGAATCGATTGCGCCTTCCCTCCGCCGCTTTTCCGGATGGATCGGCGAAGGTGCTCATCGACGTCGCGGCGTTCAAATCCACCCGCTCCTCCTCGAGGGCCCCTCCGCGCCTCGCCGTCGATTTGGCCGCTTTGGAGGAGGTCGTCGTTCGGCCTTTGGGAAAGGTCTCGTTGAGGACTTTATCGATATTGCGATGATGTTGCTGCCATTTCGTATTGGCCGTGCTGGCCCCACCTTCCGCCCCGGTGTTGGGCTCGGCCTGGGCGGAAAAACGATTGGATTTGGGGAGTTCCGCCTTTTTGCTCGTCCTTTCCGCGTCCTCGGAGGATAATTCCGCTTCCTCGGCCTCCTCGTTCTCGTCCTCGTAGAGCCTCACCCGCCCGGAGCGCTGGCCGGGGATATAATTACCGTAGTTATCAACATCCGCGAAGTATTCCTGCCCCTCCACCAAGGGATTCGACGACGCGGCGCGTTTGTTTTCGTCGTCGTCGTCGTCGTCTTCGCCGAAG